GAGCCAGTCCTCACTGCACTGCCCTCAGGGCAGCTCAAGGGACCCTCCCGCCTGGTGTCACCTCAGCTTTGGCGCAGCCTCTAGTGAGCCATTGATATGGCCCTTGCCTGTGCCAAGCCTGAACCCCAGCCTGGCCATCGCGGGGCAGCTGCAGCATATGCACAAAATACATATTCAATAAATACAAAGGTATACACAGATTAGGTGGCTGTGTGTATATTAAAATATATATACACACACACACACACACACATCTCTATGTATAAACAGCCTTCTGTGTATATAATAATTTATAACTAAATAATTATATGGCATATAATTTATATTATTATATTGTTCTTAATTATACATGCACACAAACAACCTTTATATCTGGCTCTAAAGACAACTAGCCCAGCCTGTCCTCACCATGCTTCTGACATGCCTAGATGTCTAAGTGGGAGTGGCACTGCGTGAGTAAAATAAATATTTATAAATACTTTTAAAATAACTTAAATATCTATCTTGAGTTATGCATACAGATAAGCATATGTATATATATAACGTTTCTGTACAAAAAATCCTTTTAAATATATAAATACATGTATAAATTACTTCATAAAAGCACGTACATGTGTATATTTCTAATATAGAATTATTTTATAAATTGGAAGTTATAAAAATGTCTATACATATACAGACCTGTATGAAATACATTTAGCTTATATATTTGTAAATTAAATGTATACATCTAATGGTGGTTACATCTATATATGCATGTGTTTATATGAACCAGATTCAGCTCATACACACACACACACACACGGGAAGTGTCTATTATGCTGTAACTCCTGTGCAGTTTATAGTTGTGTCTCTGAATATTCAACAACTCTATTTCAAAGAACTCATTTCAGCATTCCAAGAAATACATACCTTTTGTGTATGTGTGTTCTTACCTAAACATAAGAGAATATTCTTGTATGTTATATACAATATTCACTATATAATACACACACATACACAAGGAAGTATAGTATATAGTGTGTAAAATACATTTACGTGGCACACACACTCACGCAGCTGCTCCGCCACCACCATCAGTACTGAGCAGCCCTGGGGGGGGTGCAGATGATTTTGTGGGTGTCCCACACCCCCAGGGCTCTGCCATCACCATCACCTACTTGTTTTCTTTTGTGTTTTTTTAATACCAGGTCCCTCCCCTGCCCCAGCACCACACAGCTACGGCTCTGACATAATAATTTATTGGTTTGAATGACATTTAGTACCACAGTTGTCTTACCAGTGACAGAACGAATGCATACAGCCGATGAGATGCTCTCATGTACACACACCAACGTAAGAAACGCGGCGGGCAGGTCTGTGTCTGGGGCCGGTACTTCTGTGGACGCCAGAAATTTCTTTTTTGGGGTGAAAATCCAGCACATGGTGTGCAGGTACCAGCCCACCCACAGGAATTACAGTGCTCAACACAGCGCTGAAATGTCACTTCAAGCGGCTTTTTTTTTTTGGCAGGAAAAAAAAAAAAATCAACAAAAAAACCCTAAGAGAATTATTTAAAAAAAAAAAAAAGTGCAACCCCCAGTCTGGAGAAGCAACGTGCTGTCGGCTGGAGGGATGTGCCTGTCGGGGTGAGCTGGGACAGGCTTTTATGGTGTCTGGCAGCAAAAACTGCACCTAAAGCTCAACTCCCCCACCTACCAACCCACACCAGGCTCCTGCAGTGAGGTAAACCCCCCCAGACATGAAGCATGAACAACCCGGGGAGCAGAGCATGGCCCCCAACCCCGAAAGCTTTGCTTCCCCAGCATCATCTTGTAGGTCACTGCCCCTTGCCATCCTGGGTACACCTCTTCCATGCTCTTCATTAAGAAGGTAACAAGGCCGAGGGTGCCGATTTCTATCTCCCACTTGCCCCTAGCCTGGGCACAGCGTTGCCACCACTCCCCAGGGAAGGTGATTTACTTATCCTTTGCCCCGATACTGTCGGGAGGCTCGGCCGTGCCACACATCATCACCATTCCGCGTGTTTCCAGGCTGGTGCTTCACATCCCCCACAGATGTCATGGCTCAGGGACCCGCAGTCACTGTGGAAAGGGCTGGCAGACACCGGGGTCTGCTCAGCTCCAGCTCCCAGGGACGAGCTCGTGGAAAAAAGCCCCATCTGCCCCCGAGATGTGCCACCAACAGTCTTCGCCATCCCAATGAAGGCAGGTGGGACACCCCTTTCAGCGGGTGTGGGGTGATGGGATCGTGGGACCACTTGTCCCTTGAGCATCCCGCGGAGCCATGGTTTGGGTTGGATCAGCATCTTGTCTGACATTTCGCTGCTGCCCTTCTTGGTTTCCAACATGATCAAGTGAATGATGAGGGGAAAGGGAAGTATTATTATTATTACTGTTATTATTCTTCATTATTTTTAACATTTGAAATAAAACCACGTTGTGTTGTAAACAGAAGCTCACTCCTTAGGTCTGCCCAGCCAGTCCCAACTAAGGTTTATGTTTGAAATGGGCTTCCACTGAAAGAAAAAAACAGAGAAAATCAAGTTAAAAGCAGGACAAGCAGTGGCGGGAGGTGACAGCCCAGCGCAAGCCCACCCTGCAGACAGTCCTTGTCATGCTGATGCTCCTTGGCTCAGTTTATCCTTATGACTGGGTCACCAATCATCCTTATAGCACCGTGGACATCACGCTGGAGGTGATGAAGAGGAAAGGATGCCATCCTCCTCCTCCTCGCATGAGCCCCTCTCTGCCTGAACAGCCTTTGCCTCGACTCTGCAGCGAGGAAGGGCTGCCCCGCTCACACGGCACAGGAGGGAGCGATGTCTCCGAACCCCCTCACTCCATCCCATCCTCATGGGGCCAAGGCTGACCTCCAGCCCTCCCCAGCGAACACACCTGCGTATTCCTGAGGCAGCATCGGCCGGCTTATAACTTTCTGAAAAGTCGTAATCCACTCCAGCTGGTCGTCCTCTGTCTCGCAGGCAAAGAGGAATTTCCGATGGGGGGTGACGATGGTTATCCCGTGCTGCCAGTGGTTTCCCTGTGTGGACGGTGGGAGCCCTTCCAGGACCTTGTAGCTGTTTTCCTTGCTCCCAATAAAAACTTCCCCTCGAGCAAAGGCATCCTAGGAGACAGCGGAGCGGTCAGGCAGGTGTGATGGCTAAGGGGAGCTCTGTGTCCCAGGCAGCCAGGACAGGGCTCACACCACAACATCCAGAAGCCCCATCAGGGGAGCGCAGCAGCCAAACCACTGCAAGCATCAGTCACCCCACAAAGCCCCGCTCCAGCTCCTCCCGGGAGCACCCACAATACGGGTTCCACACCACGGATCCAAAATCCAGACACAGAAAAATCTGCAGCTGGTGCACAGAGTTCCCAAAGCGGTTTTGGTGAGTATGCACAGGGCTACTGCACGCTGGACACCAGGCAGATCCACCTAGCAGTCATGGTCAGTGCCTCCTGGCTCTCCCAACAGCCTGAGCTTCACTGCAGATTATTACTACTACTATTATTATCATTATTATTACTACTATTATTGCAAATAATCCCCAACAGACAGCCCAGGTACCTTCATCTTACCAAGGGATCTTTGAAATACATGAGCCGTCGGTCATCCATGGTGAACCATCGCTTCTTGAATCCCTCTGTTTGCTGAAAAGTCAGAAAAACCCACCAGATTACACACCAAAGCAACGCAACTCCTCTCTTATTGGGCATGATCCAGGAGTAGCAGGCATCTGGAGGAGCCCAATGGTCTGGGGAAGTGGGAAGAGGCAGCCTTCTGGGCCACCACAGCCAGGGTCCGGGCCAGCAATACCAGGTGGGCTTGCAGAAACAGAGAGGGGAGATGGGGCAGTGGGTCTGTGATGTAGTCTTGGATTTTTTTAAAAGGTTTACTCCCAGGTGAGAAACGTGTATTAATGCATTCAAGGCATTAAGACCTTGCCTCTCCAGCAAGGGTGGGGTTGTCCCACCAGCAGACCCTTCTCAGCCCCATACGGAGCAAGATTCACGTTTAGAGGAACTGCAGCAACATTTCATATCCTACCTTTGGCCCCGTTTTCTCCATGTACCCTTCCTTCAGGTAGTTTCGAGAAAGCTTTGGCACCAGCTGGAGCAACCAAAGAGGAGAAAAGGGAGAGCAGCGTCAGATGGAGGGATCCTCATGTTGGGGTTTGGATACCAGCTGTGGGACTGTTCTTTATTCTCCCCATGGAGGAGGACAACGTCAGTACATGGGGCCGATGAGAAGGCTTTGGCTCTGGGGATTCCTGGGGATAGAGCCAGCCCCAGCCCACAGCTGGACCCCTCCCAGGCAATTAATAGAAGGCAGGTAATGCAATCAGATTTCAAAATCTACGAAGTCAAGGAGGTAACAGAGAGTAACCACCAACAACCAGTGACGTTACACACCAACTGCAGCACAACTGCAATACAAGGCACTTAGTGCCAGCTTGCGTTAATACTGCCTCTGGTATTCTATTAGCAAAAGGAAATGCAATTAGCAGTTCCAGCTCCCGGAAAATACAAGACGGAGATTCATGAGACAGGCTGCATTGACCTGCACACAAGAACTCATCCCAGAGGCTTGGCTACAGCACTGATATCCTTCTGCCCTCATCTTTTCTACCTTCCAGCCTTTGTTTCAGCTTTTAATACTACAGCCACAATCTTACGGCTTCTCTGTGCATGACAGCGCTGGAGTTACTCACATGCACTCCTCGCATTTTGAGGGTGAACACGTGTACATGCACATGGACGTGGTTTCCAAGGCTGGATGTTGGTAACAGGTGCTGCATGCAGGCTCCACTTCCCACTGCAACAATTTCAGCCCAGTAACTGTAAAATGCTCGGAAGGATGGAGCACTCTCCAAGCTTTCCAGCATGTTAACAAGATGCTAAAAATGAGCAAGAGGGGGAAAAAAAACCCACAAACTAAAACTGCAGGAAAACTCACATCAACATCGCTGGCTCCAGGGAATGCCACTTGTAAGTAATGAAAACGTGCTGCCCGGATGGCATTGAACCAATCCACTATTTCCTAATAAAGAGAAAGAAAAGCCTCGTAACATAGTCTGCACATAAAATAATGTGATCCTGCTGCGTTTCATCTCTCCCACCACTTTGTCCCAAGCGAGAGAGTGCAATTTAGAGCAATTCTAAAAAAAAAAAAAATTAAATAGAGATATGAAAGCAGCAAGTACTGCCTAAAGGTATGGGCAAAGGAAAAGCACATTGAAAGGGAGATGTAAGAACTGCCTGCACAGGGATCCTGAGCTGCAGGGAGACGGATGCTGAACTGTCCAGCTGTCAGTAATGCATGTGAAGCTACACACATCAGGGACAGATCTGATCCTAAAAAACACAGGTGAAGCTGCTGTAGCATAGGAAAGACCATAACAAAGTAGAAATTGGTCTTCAGTGAGATTTAAAATTTTTAAGCTTTAAAAATGATTGGGGGGAAAAAAAGAAAGGCTCTTATGTGTAATTCTGGAGATCTCAGTTTTAAGGAGTTGGACTGAGGGTATCTCAAAAATAGTCTAACTTGCAAATAGCCATCCTCTAAAAGTTCAAATGCTTTGCTTTGGTTTGTTGATCTTCAGATTGAAGGGGAAAAAACTCACCACCATAATAAGACATACACAAAAATAATGTTTTGGAAAACTCTGATCTACTTGTCTGAGGTTTTACTTACTTATCACTTGCTTTTCCTACCCTAAGCAGCTAAGCAGACCCCGGATAGCAGCACAAAGAGGATCAGTGAGAGGAACTGACTCCTGAAGTGAATGATGACCAAATGAAGCTGCAAGTAATGAACAATAAACTGCAATGTTAAAATGATGATATTTCATCCAGTCATTAAATGGACGCTACATATATA